GCCGTCAATTTACCGAGAACGTCCCTCTCTAGCCGTCAATTTACCGAGAACGTCCCTCTCTAGCCGTCAATTTACCGAGAACGTCCCTCTCTAGCACTTGAGCGCCCATCGATCGTCCGATATGACCATCCTCCCATGATCTACGACCCCCCCCCTCCCCATTGCAAAATCAATGTACTGGTCTTTCGTATGGGGAGCGCCCAGCTACGAAGAGCGCCCAGCTATGGCGGAACCATTCCCTCCTACATGGGACATTCATATTGAGAGCGCCCAGCTCTGGCGGAACCATAGCCTCCTCATGGGACTTCCGTATGGGGAGCGCCCAACTATGGTGGAGGAACCATAGCCTCCTACAGGGGACTTTCATATGGGGAGCGCCCGGCTATGGTGGTGGAACCATAGCCCCCCATTCGAAAGTATGTTACAAGGGTTCTCCTTCCCTTTTGGTTTCCATTTTACGTTTCGTGCTTGGACAGCATGAACCTGGACGTAAAACGACTGCCCTGTACGGTTTCGTGAGAACTGAAAACGCATTTGCCCAGAGACCAAAGCAGCTGCTCACAGGTTTCTCTCTTCTCCACCTGTAATGCCTGTCACCACGAAAGCATGCTCTCTTACTCTCTCTGTCTTCGCACCCCCTCCAGCCGCCTTCCCCCCCTCCCGCCCCCCTCCCAAAAAAAAACCCACACACCACCTCCCTCCTTCCTTCCCTCCATCCATTACTTCCTCTTTCTCCACCCCTCTTTCCCTCTCTACATGCTGTCTCCACATAGTATTCTTTTATCAAAACTTCAAAAGTGTTTTCGCCGTCCGCGTCGATTCTGCAGTTCATCAGAAGAAGAAAACGCTTGCAAGTACGAGTGTCGCTTATTTCCTGATCCTCCTCCTCTTCCCCTCCCCTCCTCCCCCCCCCCCCCCCCCCCCCCCCCCCCGGGATCTCCCTTTCAGTTTGGTGAATATTGGCCATCAAGCTGACACTTCTGTCCCAGTGGGTTGGTGGTGCCCGATCAGGCATAATTCAGAACCTGCAAGGACTAAAAGATGCACAGAGACAGAGAGCGAAATTAGTCAATTTATCAAGAGAAAATCACCTTTTTGTTTTTTTAACTCTTTAGGAAAATCACTTCTGTTTTCTTTCCTTTTCAAGAAACAAATCACCTCTTTTCTTTCCTTTTCAGGAAAATCACCTCTAAATCACTTCTTTTCTTTCCTTTTCAGGAAAATCACTTTTGTTTCTTTCCTTTTTAGGAAAATAGCCTCTTTTCTTTCCTTTTTACGTCCTTTTTTAGGAAAATCACTTCTGTTGTCTTTCCTTTTCAGGAAAATCACCTCTTTTCTTTCCTTTTTAATTTCCTTTTGAGGAAAATCACCTCTAATTTCTCATCCGTAAGAGATTTTGAGAACGGAATGGCACAAAGAGGATCGGCAAGGGGACATTTGTTGTCCACGTCAGCCAACACTGAAGTTAATCACCTGTCATCATTTCATCCTTTTTAAATTTTAAAGCATTATCCACCATCACTGGCACTCGTCTTCTCCCATTGATTCGTTCATTCGTTGATCTCTGTCTCCATCCTTCAGGTTCCACCCATTGGCCCTCGCTCACCGACTCACCACACGCACAAAAGGACAAAAAATATGCCCGTGTATTTTTCCATGTTCTAGCGGAAGATTCATTCTCATTCTGCACAATTGCAGAGCGGTGGAGCGAGGCCCCTTGCTTTCCATTCAATTCTCATTCCCATTCTTCAAAAACAGCCAACTGAAGGACAAAACCTTTGTCACTCATTGAGGTTTCACCTGATCGCTGCAGCTACTGTCTTCCCCAACGCATCCCCATTTTCACTGAATCGAGCTAGAAACATACCTTGTGTACGTTCGTTTTCAGGGTGCGTTATGTTCGGGGGACGACGGTAGTGTACATGGACAAAGTGCGAAAATGCACTACATTGCATGTGTGTGTGTGTGTGTGTGTGTGTGTGTGTGTGTGCGTGTGTGAGTGTGTGTGTGTGTGTGTGTGTG